TTAGTGGAAGAGGCTTTATTTCAGGTTATCTCAGGAAACATGTAGAATTTTCCCTCCTTTTCACACTTTACATTAATAGAATAGTGGTGAAGTAAGCACCCTGACTCATAAAGTTACTTGTATGTATTTTTTCGGGTCTGGCACTATACAACCAATTGTTGTGCTCTTCCCTGAGAAAGATCTCTTCTCCTGCTCCCAGGGTTCCTCAGTTGCCTATAGCTCTGTGTAGTTGAGGCCTTATGGACTTTCGCCCTTTGGCATGTCCACTGGTGTCATCCATGTTCAGTTCACATTTGGGCAGTCCTGTTGATGGTACGTGATGAGAATACCTCCTGATATTACCAGGAGAAACAATCTCACAGAGAATCCATTATCCCCTGGCTCTTACAAGCTCTCTAAGTTCTCCTCTGCAATGTTCCCTGAGCCTTAGGTGTGGGATGGTTTTGTAGAAGTGCTCACTGGGGACTGGGCTCCACAACTGTGCATTTTGATTGATTATGGTTTTCTATAGTGGTCTCAATCTGTTGCAAAGAAAAGTTTCATTGATGAGGCGTGAAGACTACACTTACCTCTTGAGTATAAGGACGAATATCAATAGATTGTTGTTAAAGATTATGCACTTACTAAATTAGTAGTTATAAATTTTCTTCCAATAACCATGGCTTCACTAACACTGAGCAGTTAGCAGGGTTTCTACTATCAGGGTGTGGTATCCATCTTGTTGCATGCCTTTAAAGTTCAATTAGAGAGCTGTTGGTTACTGCCAAGGTATGTGGGCCACTTTTCCACACTTTATCTTGCCATGCTGGTTATTGATGTGGTTCATAGCCTGTGCATGTGAGGGCACAGAGAACAGTTAGAACCCATAATGGTTTCTGTCCTTATTTTACTGTGAACCTAAAACCACTTCGGACCAACACTGTATTAAAAGTCATGTAAACTGAATAGTTCGAACCAGGGTATGGAATGAAGTAGTTTTCTTCAAGATATGAGTCATCTGTATATTTTTTTCCCTTTTCCCTATGGGACACAGAACCTCTACCTCTTTATCAATGGCCCTTTGGCCTCATTGCCATTACTCTTGGGTTCACTAATGCAGACGGGCACTAGTAACAAAAGGGCACTTTTGAAGCTAAATATCCAGGGAGCCTTTTATATTTCTGCCCGGGCTGTTCTGCTGCTGTTGAGACATGGTAATGAAGGAAATTCTGTGCCATAAATAATTTGCAAAGACTCTATGAAAAAAAAGATCCTACTAATTGCAGCATTCTCAACATAATTGTTAGAAAGACTGACAAGCAGTAGAAGAATCCAAGACTTCAAAGAGCAGGAAGCCATGAGCTGCAGGCTCCCAGAGGAGTATTTGTAGACATCACATGAAAAAAAAAAATGACTGGTCCAAACCAGACTGAGTTTTGGGTCTATACATTTATGAGAAAGAACAAAACAGATGAAAAAAAAAAAAGACAAATTAGAGTAATTTGTTTTATAACACTAAGTGACTTGAACAGACTAAAAGAAAACTCCATACTTATACATCCAGAAAATAAGGGTCTCTCAGGGTCTATTTTAATATATATATACATATATATACTAAAATATATAATATACTTATATATACTAAAGATACATGTAATACACACACACATATATATACATATATATGTATATATATACACACACACATATATATATATATATATATATATATATATAGAGAGAGAGAGAGAGAGAGAGAGAGAGAGAGCATCTTGAAGGGATGTAAACGTAGATTGACATCATAAGAAAGGCTTCCTCCAGAGACCCACAGCCAACCATTAGGTGAAGCTTAGGGAATGCTACAGAAGATAGGAGGAAGGGCTATAGGAGCCAGGGGCACTGAGGACACCTTGGGAATACAGCCCACAGAATCAACTAAGTAGGTCTCATGGGGGGGGGTCGCGCTCACAGAGACTGAAATGGCAACCGTGGAGACTTCATTGATCCGTGCTAGGCTCTCTGCATACATGTTGTGGTTGTTTGACTTGGGGTGTTAGTGAGACTCCTAACAGTGGGCGTGGGGGTATCTCTGACTCTTCTGACTGCTGTTAGGACCATTTCCTTCCTACTGGGTAGCCCCATCCTGCTTTGATATGACGACAGTTTATGCCTAGTCTTACTGCATCTTGTTATGCTGTGTTCTGTTGATATCACTGGGAGGCCTGCTCCTTTCTGAAGAAAAATGGAGGAGCAGTGAGTGGATCTGAGGAAGAGGGAAGAAGTAGAGGGACAGAGAGGAGGGGATGGAGAAGTTGTGGTGGGGATGTACTGTATGAGAGAAGAATAAAGAAAAAGAAAAAAGTAAATGTGGATTGGGTTGGATAATTGGAAAAGCAAAGTATGTATCAAACAATAAATCTGTCCACCGCAATTTCTTATGAATTTATATATTTCTATTGCTAAAGAAAATAAAACAAAATAAACAAAACCTTTCCATTAAATTTTGCTTTGAAATGAGGAGCCTCCCATGATTGATGGCCAAGTATCACATTAAGATTTGTCCCACCAAGATCTGCTTTTGGATATCTCATTGAGTTTTTATTAGTCTTCAAATTATTTTCAACACACATTCAGAAACTTCTGTATGTGCTTTATAAATATGTATCTTGATATTCCAAGGACATTCAAGCATTTGGCATTTGGTCGCTATTTTTCTTTTTTTTTAATTATTCTTTTCTCATACGTTACATTCCCTCCCTCCTCTCCCTCCCCTCCCCCCAGTTTTTTGCCTCACCCACCTCCCTTCTCCCCAGATCCACACCCCCCTTCACCTCCCCTCAGAAAAGAGCAGACCTCTCAAGGACTACAACCAAACATGACGTAAAAAGCTACAAGAAGACCAAGCACATACCATCACATCAAGGCTGAACAAGGCAGCCCAGTAGGAGGAACAAGGTCTCACAAGCAGGCAAAGGAGTCATAGACAGCAATCACTCCCACTGTTAGGAATCCCACAATAACACCAAACTACTCAGCCATAACATATATGCAGAGAACCTCGGTCAGACCGCTCCAGGCTCCCTGAACTCCGCAAGAGTCCTGGCGAATTGATTCTGTGAGCTGTGTTCTTGTGGTGTCCCTGAGCCCTCTCGTTCCTCTCTGATCCTTCCTCTCCCTCCTCTGCAGGACTCCCAGAGCTCCACCTAATGTTTGGCTGTGGGACTGGCATCTGCTCCCATCGGTTGCTGGATGAAGTCTCTTCTGGTCTCTTTTGATGACGATTCTGCTAGGCTCCGGTTCCAGAACACTCTGCAGGCAGGACAAACTGGAGGTTGAAGGTTTTGCAACTGGGTTGGTGTCCCAGTCTCTCCACTTGAGGTCTCATCTGGTTACGGAAGATGGCTGGTTCAGGCTCCATGTTTCCCATTACTAGGAGTCTTTGCTAGGGTTAGTCTCGTAGATACCATGGGGTTTCCATTGCACTGTTTCCACCTTATCCCCAAAATGTCCCCCAATTCCAGTTGTTTAAGTATTTTCTGCTTCCCCTGACCTGATCCCAACACCACCCTCCCCAAGTCCACTCTCAGAATCTATTCTATTTCCCCTTCCCAGGAACACTCTTGGATCTCCCCTTAAATCCTCCTTGTTATATAGCCTCTCTGGGGCTGTGAACCCCATACTATGGTATGACTATATTTTACCTTACAGCTAATATCCACTTCTAAGTGAGTAAATACTAAGTATGGTTTTCTGGGTCTGAGTTACCTCACTAAGGATGATTTTTTTTTCTGTTTCCATCCATTTGCCTGAAAATTTCATGACATTGTTTTTAACATCTGAGTAACATTCTATTGTGTAAATGTACCACCACATATCCTTTATCCATTCTTTGGTTGAGGGACATCTAGGTTGTTTCCAGTTTCTGGCTATTATGAACAAAGTTGTTATGAACATAGTTGAGCATGTGTCCTTGTGATAGGATGAAGCATCCTTTGGGTATACGCCCAGGAGTGGTATAGCCAGATCTTGAGATAGATTGATTCCCAATTTTCTGAGAAATTGCCATATTGATTTCCAAAGTGGCTGTACAAGTTTGCACTCCCATCATCAAAGGGGAAGTGTTTTCCTTGCTCCATATCCTCTCCAGCATGAACTGTCATTAGTAATTTTTTTTTTTATCTTAACCATTCTGACAGGTGTAAGTTGGAATCTGAGCCGTTTTGATTTGCATTTCCCTGATGGCTAAGGATGTTGAACATGCTTCTTTTTTTGAAAATAACATATTTCTTTATTGACTTTTTTGGGAATTTCACACCATACACCCCAGTCCCCCTCACTTCCCAGGCCCTCCATATCTGACCCTCACCCCTGTAGCATCTCGCCAAAAGAACCCCCCCAAATTCATTAAAAACAAAACAAAACAAAAAACCCCACCTCACTCCTCCATGTTTCCCGCCTCACTAACATCTCTTCATTTGTTCCAGTGGCACAGGGAGCTGCAGTGTGTCACTCAGTACACACTTTCGTCCAATCAGCCCCACCCACAGTTGTTCATTACAATGAGTTATTGGTCTGGTTCGAGGCCACTGGCCTATGGCACACCATCATTATCAGTGGACCATCACCTACACTCCTCTCGGACATCCTGCTGTTGTCCTGAGTCATAGAGATCTTGTGGCTATCGTTCTCCAGGACCAGTCCCGTCATGGGCTTCTGCAGGTCATAGATGGAGTAGATGTTAGGGTGAGCCAACCCAAGTCCCAGGACGTGGCCCTGGGTGGTAGTTGAACCGTTCAGTCTGGGATGCTGGGACTACCCCACATCCGGTGAGGGGTGGAGCCAGCTTTCCTACTCCCATGTGGTCAGGGCCAACTCTCCCATGCCTGTGGTGAAGGGTGGAGCCATGTCTTCCTAGTGTAGGGGCCAGCTCTCCCAGGGCCAGTGAAGGGTGGGGCCAGCTCAGCACAGATCTTAGATTTCAACATGCATGTTTCCTATGGTCTCCTGTAGTATCACGGGCCATGAACATCAACACAGACCCCAGCTGCAGTAGGACTGTGGACCCAGATGTGGCCCTCAGTAGCAGCTCAGGTCACCCAGGTCAGTATGGCCCCTGGAGGCAGCATGGCCATAGGACAACAACATGATCTCAGGTGTCTGATCAGACCATGAGCATCTGCATAGCCCTCAGTGGTAACAGGAGCCATCGACATCAACTCAAATGCTGGCTGCTGTATGGTCATGAACCCAGAAATGGCCCTCTTCAGCAGCCTTACCACAGATGACATCATGGCCCCAGATGGCAGTACAGGCCACTCAGGTCAGCATAGCCCTGGTTGTGGCACGGCCCTCAGACACCAACATGGCCACAGATTGTAGCCTAAACCCTACACATTGGTGGCAATGTGGGTCATAGATATCAGCACAGATCCCAACTGCAGTAAGTCCACTGACTAAGACATGGCTCTCTTTAGTAGCCTGGGCCCAGATATCACCATTGCCCCAGGTGTCAGGGTAGGCCACTCAGATCAGCATGGCCCTGGTGGTGGGCAAGGCCCTCAAACACCAACATAGTTGCCTTTGGTGGCAACATGGGCCATGCTCATCAGCAAAGACTCCAGCTGCAGTAGGACCACAGACCCAGACATGGCCCTAAGCTGCAGCCTGGGCCTGTACATCACCATGGCACCTTGTAACAGTGCAGGGCATTCATATTGGTATGGCCCTGGCTGCAGAATGAATCTCAGATGCCAACATGTTCTCAGGTGGTGGTCCAGACCTGGGGTATTTGCATGGCCTTCAGTGGTAACAGGAGCCATGGACAACAACACTGACCCTGTCTGCAGTAGGACCATGGACCCAGAAATGGCCCTATGCCACAGCCCAGGCTCAGATATCTCCTTGGCTCCAGGAAGCAGCACAGGACAATCAGGTCAGCATGGCCTCAGTGGCAGCATGGCTCTTGGACACCAACATGAACTCAGATGGCTGCCCAGACCCCAGGCATCCACAGGGCCTTCAGTGGTTACTGAAACCATGGACATCAACATAGACCCTGGCTGCTATATGACCACAGACCCAGACATAGCCCTGGGCAGCAGCTCAGGCCCAGGTGGCAGCACATTCAGATGTGTCATAGGATATTATTTTAAGGTGTGTTACTTTTGTTTATGTTGCATTTGTTTAACTCTGTGAAGCTGTGTTACTGTGCCTGCCTAAATTACCTGATGGTCTAATAAAGAACTAAACAGCCAATAGCAAGGCAGGAGTGGTGCTGGCAGGCAGAGAGAATAAACAGAAGGAGAAATCTGGGAGGGAAGAAGAAGTAGCCAGGGAAGGAGGAAGACTCCAGGGGCCAGCCACCCAGCTACACAGCAACCCACAGAGTGAGAGTAAGATTTACAGAAGTAAGAGAATGGAAAAAAAGCCCAGAGGCAAAAGACAGACAGGCTAATTTAAGTTAAGGAAAGCTGGCTAGAAACAAGCCAAGCTAAGGCTGGACATTCATAATTAAGAATAAGCCTCTGTGTGTGATTTATTTGGAAGCTGGGTGGTGGGGCTCCCAAAAGGGCAAAAATAAACAACAGCATAGATGGGCATGGCCCCAGCAGCAGCACTGTCCTTGGACAACAATATGGCCCAGATGCTGGCATCTTTGTGGCCTTTGGCAGGTCATGGATGTCTACACAGGCCAAGCTGTGGTAGGACCATGGACCCAGACATGGCCCTTGGCAGCAGTCTGGGCCCAGTCATCACCCTGGTCCCAGGTGGCAAGCAGGTCACCCACATCAGCCTGTTCCTCACAGCCTCTTCAGCTCTGCTTCTTTCCACAGCACTTGAAACACTCTTCTTCTCTTTCCCATTTCTCCACCGTATGTTTGTTCATCATCATGTTCACCCAGCCTAGACTGCTGTTGAACATTCCTTTAAGTGTTTCTTGGTCATTTTAGATTCCTTTGTTGAAAATGATCACTATCTCTCTTATTTTTAAATTTGGGATTGAATTTATTGTATCATGCTCATAAGACCAGTGCTCTGCCACTGAGCTAGAAGCCTTTTTATTTTTTTTTTTATTCTGAGACAGAATCTTGTTAGGTTGTCCATGTTTGTCTTGAGATCACTCTGTAGCCTAGATGGGTCTTCTGCTTATGATCCTCTTGATGGAACATTCTGAGTAGCTGGGTTTACAGGCCTACTCCTTGAAGTCTGGACAGATCACTCTATTCTTAATTCCTTCTATAACTGCCAAGTGTTTTTTTATGCAAGACTTTTATTTCCTTTTCCTTTGAGACAGGGACTCTTTATTTAGCCCTGAATGTCCTGGGCTATGTAGATCTGGCTGGTCTTGAATACACAGAGATCTACCAGCCTCCGCTTCCAGAGTGCTGGGATTAAAGGTATGTGCATCCACATCTGCCCCTAGATTATTTTTTCATGTTCATTTTCAAATATATATCAACAACTGTCAGTTTTCATTGTGACAACATTGAAAATTTTGGTGTTTGGCCAATGTTGAGTCAAATTCTCGTAGTAGATTTTGTTTGATAACATATTCTTTTTCAAGTAACAAATGACTACAATGTTGGGGTTTAAGATTTTTCTTTTACTTTACTGTTCTGGTATTTACTGCTACTAAAGATGGAAAGCTTTATAAATCAGTGCCATTCTACCCTTTCAGTCATAGAGGACACCACCTGCCTTATGTGTTACAAGGAAATATGATTGTTTTATTCACTAAATCGACTACTCATTCCCTCTTAATTCATTAATCTGTTTATTATTTAGTCATTTAGACAAATAATTAGCAGTAACTAGCTATAAATTTGTACACAAACAATGATGCTAATATAAAATGTGACCTGATAAAAGGTTTTGTATCTCTTATAATGATATAACTAAATAATGCTTTGGAATGCAAAAGAAAAAGAAAAAGCCAAGCCAACACCGAACAAATCAGGAATCCTATTATCTTTGAGGAAGATGAAAGAAAGCAGAAAGCTTATTTCCTAAATGTGCAATAATTATTGTTAAATAAGCTCAATTCTAGAGCCTTAAAAGAGCACATGTTTATTCTCTAGAATAACAATCAGGTATTTGTGCCCAGCTCAGCCAGTCTTGTGCTCTGGGTATCACCAGGCTATAATCATGATTCTCAGACGGTGATTTCATCCAAAGGCTTAGTCCCCACTACATCCACATCTAAGCTCTCTAAGCTTCCTGGTTCACCTCAGTTTTCTTGCAGCTGTCTCTCTGATGCTGTCTGTGTACTGTGAAGACCCTACCAGTCTCTGAAAACTGCAAAAAATGTCTTTGGTTGGACTGATATGGAAATACATAGATTATTCTTATTTTACCAGTGATGATCATCTGGAAGATGATACTGCATCACTTCTGTGTAGTTATTTTGTTTTTGAACTAATCAGTATCCTTATTTAAAGTAGCAGGTTTTGCTTCTATGTTACATACTGATGCTTTACAAAGACTTACCCAAGAGTGATAAACACTTTTTTGCCTCAAGTATGTAAATTAAAATTTTTTTTTTTTTTTTTTTTTTTTTTTTTTTTTTTTTTTTTTTGGTTTTTCGAGACAGGGTTTCTCTGTGTAGCTTTTGCGCCTCTCCTGGAACTCACTTGGTAGCCCAGGCTGGCCTCGAACTCACAGAGATCCGCCTGGCTCTGCCTCCCGAGTGCTGGGATTAAAGGCGTGCGCCACCACCGCCCGGCTGTAAATTAAAAATTTAAAAACTATATTTTTTATAATATTCTGCTTATGAAACAAGTTAATGTATTCAACTACAAGCTATCTTAAGCTTTCAGGAAACAATTGTTTGGGGCAGCTTATAAAAACAAATCTGCATTATACATGCAGATTTACATAGTCAACACTAGTTAATACACACTTATTTTTTTTAAATACTGCTTTTAGCACATTCCATGCATTCTAGAATGTCATGTTTTTACTTATATCCTGAGGTAGTGTTTTATCTTTTTGGCTTTTCATTGACTCATAGTCGTACAAGATACTGTATAGGCCTGGTGGTTATAAGTCAATAGTAGAGGGTTTGTTTAACATGTATGAGGGAGACATTGGGTGAGAGACCTGTCGTTGTAAGAAACAAAGTGAAGGAAAAGATACATTATTTACTACCCACCTATATCATATGTGAATCTTTCCATCTTTCCCACAATTACTGATTCCAGAATTTATTTTTGGGAAGGGGCAAAAAAACTTATGTGATTTCAATCTTTTTAAATTCTTAGAGGCTTGTTTTTTAAAAATATAACATTTGACTTATCTTTGATAATATTCTGCATTTATCTAAGAATTAATATCCTTATCATGGTCTTTATGTGTGTATAGGCTTATTTGTTACACAGTTTTGTTCAAATTTTTTGACTTTGTGACTACATATTCAGTCAGTCATTGAATTTGGAAGCCTTGTACTACTGTTGGATTGCTAGCTATAGCTCAGTTCAGATGTGTAGATGCTTGTTTTACATATTGATAGGACCTGAATTTGAGTACACATACACTTAAAATTGCTATTTATGTGCCTGATAAACACATTATCATTAGGTGATCACCTTGTTTGAGTCTTGCAATTAAATTAAATTAATTAAATTTAATTAGTTAAAGCCTCTATTACTTGATATAAATAAATGTCCCCTTAGAAGAAGGACATTTTTGGCACAGGAACAGCAGGTGAAGAGTTGCCTTATGCTACCATAAACAAGGAACTGTAGTAGTATAAAGGACAAGTGCACAGTAAACCATCCTAGCATATCCAGGGAAGGTGTGGCTCTACACAAACCATACTAGACATGGAGTCTTCAGGAATTCAGGATTTTAAAGCATTAATTGTCTGCTATATAAGATAATTATTATGCATTATTTTAATAGCGTCCCTAGCAAACAAACAGAGGAATAAAACTCATGAAAACAAATTTTATCTTTTTAAAAATGTGTGTAGGTGTTTCATCTACATGCACTTGTACATCACTTACATGCTTGGTGCTCACAGAGACGAGAAGAGGGTGTTGGATTCCCTAGAACTAGAGCTACAGCTGGTTGTGAGCCACCACGTATAAGGTGGGAACTGAACCAAATCCTTTGGAAGAGCAGCCAGTGCTCTGAAACATCTCTCCAGCCTCTCGGATTTGATCTTTTTAAGAACTAGTTCTGTCACAGTCTATTATCTCTGTATTTTGGAGACTGAGACAGGAAGATTGAGATTCCACGTTACCCTGTGATAAATAATGAGTTCCAGTCCAAAAATAATTCACACTAAGATGAGGAGGCAGTGGAAAAACCATGGGAGGC